CGCGAGATGAGCACTGTACCGCTGTACACGACAACGTACTGTACGCATTTGGTAGCACACAGTTGGAAAACGGCCAGTCTGTTGAGCAGTACAACGCCCACACTAACACCTGGGTAGCAGTTGCCAACATGCCTCAATTACGCTGCGCTGCCACTGCTGTAAGATCCGGGGATCACATCTTTATCATTGGTGGTAGGATACCGAATGGTGGCTCTGCTAAGGAGGTCATGCGTTATGACACAGACATTAACCAATGGTTTATTGAGACACCCATGTCTGTCAAACGTGCCGGTCTGTGCTCAGCAGCTTGTCAAGGCTTCGTTTATGCCATTGGTGGGCTGAGTGACAGAAACGAGTTTCTGCGAACTGTCGAGCGATACAACACGAAGAAAAAGATATGGACCAGCATCGCACCCATGCAAATTGCTCGCTATTTTGCGTGCGCGGTGGAAATGAACGGAAAGGTCTTTGTCATCGGTGGCCAATCTTCAACGGGGGCATATTTGTCTTCTTGTGAGGCGCTTGATCCAGTGACTGAAGAGTGGTCTTTGCTTCCCAATATCTCCGTTCCCCGCCAGGCGGCTGGTATCACCAGGCTTGGAAACAGGATTTTCCTGTTTGGAGGCTGTAACAACTCTGGGAGTTTGGACAGCGTAGAATGTTATGATGAGCGTAAGAGAAGTTGGGAAACAGTCACCAAGATGCCCTCCAAGAGATCTTGGGTCCAGTGTGATGTGCTCAGAGTGGCCAAGGAACTTCTTCAGATTAATTTAACATGACAATATCCTAAAAATTCTTGGTACTACCCCTTCCCCCTCGCGAAAAAAAGCAACAAACTACACAAAACCAAACCAAAAAACATCAAAAAAGAGAAGAGAAATTGATACGGTATTCCCGTGGTACAATAATAACCTTGCTAAGGAAGAACACGTGACATCCAGTTAAACGCTTGATGAGGGAGATACTCCTTGTACATGTAGAACCACGAATGCTTTAGAAATCGTACTTTGTGTAACCCTGGTGCATGGTGTAAGCTGACGAAATTATTATATCTCGAAACCTTTCGGTTTTTACAAGGAAATTTGCTTTCGATCGGTAATTTAAGATTTTGACCTCCAGAATGAGGAAAAGGCGAGAGAAATCAAACACTACGGGTAGACAGGTATAGGATATAGGAAATTTACGAGTTAAAGCCGATATGACAGAGAGCCCTTTGATTAAAATATTTTGAAACGGGCGCACCCTATGGCTATATCATTTTAGTCAGCTGTTAAACATTACACGGAAAATGACTAGAAGATTTCACGATTTATTCTTATTACGTCAGTATGTTTGAGGGGTGCATTTTTACGAGCGGAGTACCTTTTTTGTTTTCTGTCAAGCTGATGGTATATAGTAAAAAAAATTAATAATAATAACTGGTGCCTGCTACGCAGGCTAGCTAGCCGATGTAAAGAGGTAAGGGGTTGGACTCGGGGCGCCGCCCTTCCCATATAAATCATATCGTTGTTGAGTTAAGCCCATACGCCTCCTCAAAAATCAATTTGAGAGTACGTCTTTTATCGTTATAAAACGGTTCTCAGACTCTCCATTTTTCTTTTTGCCTGCGAGGAAGTTAGGTCTTCTTAATGGAATATAGTCAACTCTCTCATAGCGACCACTTCTCGTAAGCGACCACCTCCTGTATAAGCGACCACTTTGCAAATAATCCTTTTGTTTCTCAGTCAAACACTGTTTAAAAAACTCTCTCGTTAGCGACCACTACCTAAATTTTCAAAGCGACCGCGACCACTTTTTGGGCCAGAAATTTGATGTATTCTTTTGTTTTCTGTTTCCGGTAAGCGACCACCCGGCATGATAACTTATGATTGTAAGAAAACCGTTGCTCGAATGTCACAAAAGTTCTTTTTTGAATAGTGCTGACCAAGTTTGCTGACAGATTATAGCAGTTGATTTACAAAAAAGATGTCTGTAATACGATCTCTATGTAAAAAAGTGGATTGTCACATTCATGCATGATGTTATGTCAGGATCCTGGTTATGTACAAAGTTTCATCAGTTGCAAGCGCTGTTCGAGTTAAACATTATTAGAAGTTCTCTCTTTGCCTCGTTTTTGCTTGTAAGATAATAACTCTATGTAATTATGTTAATCAGTTCAATGTGAGTTCTTTTTCTTGATTTTTCCCATAGACGACCACCTCCCGTAAGCGGTCGTGCACCAAAGGTGGTCGCGTACGAGAGAGTTGACTGTAATGATTTTTGCCTGCCACTTGAAAGCTTTCTGGCCTTGACTTGACAAATGCACGCAGCAAAAGGATCTAAATTCCAAAGGAGGAATAGTGAAGTTTCAAGATACATCAATAGTTTCAATTTTCATTCCCGGTCTAAGTAATAGCCGAGGTTCAAAAAAATCTCCACGTTTTCACAACTTTGTCACGGAAGTCACACATTGCCAGGGAAAATTCAACCGTACAGCGGATTTTTAAATGAAATGGAAACACTTTGTGTAAGCTAACATAAGCTGACCACATTTTCTACGATGAGGTTTCTGTTCGTCGGCATTTCTAGCCGTCACGGGCGAAGGATATTTAACAGATTTTCACGCATTTGTGCTGAGTTGTGTGTGCTGGGAAGCGCAAGGAAAGACTTGTACCATTTTTTGGCTGGAAACGATCTATAGCATCGAACGTTTGGACCTCTACGTTGTTGTTCTTAGACTTCTTACATTTTGCTGTTCTGCTACTTTGTGCCATCATGAGTAGAAGCAGAAGAGCCATAAGGCGGAATTTGTCGAAAAAAAAAAACAAATTTCCCATTGTTTTTGAGGAGTCGCTTTGAACAGTGTGTTTGGAAAACAACCGCTCTTTAACAATGTTTTGAGAGACTGTACTAGTACTTTTGGACCTGTGAACAAAGTTATGGTTGAGCCGAGCAGGAGGACGATTTCTAACACGGTAAGGGAAATTTTCATACATTTGTTCGTAATTTTGTACACGGCAATTTTAAATCTAAGTTAAAAAAGCGACGCGATTCGCATAAAGAGCGGCCAGGTCATGTTGTGTGAAATTGCACTTCGTATTCCAATATGGCGGCGGCACCCTGGGGACGAGGTTGAATGGCGAGTGAATGTTTGCCATGCTTTCTCTGACCTTGATTGCAGTTAAATTTTACAAGCAGTTGATAGCGCAAATCACCTTTGGTTACTGTAGAATCGAGTATGAACTCGACCGATCAAACCGTCATGCGATCCTGATACAAACCAGGCCCCAGTTGTTCAAAAGCTGGATAGCGCTATCCATTGATAAATCTCTATCCAGTGGATAAGTATTAGAGAAACCAATGCACTATCCACTGGATAGAGATTTATCCGGTGGATAGCGCTATCCACCTTTTGAACAACTGGGGCTGGGTATAAAAATTTTATTCAGTGCTGGGTGGTAAGTTTTCCGAGTGACTTTAAGTCGATCTTGGTGTCTTCAGTCCTTCAGGTCTGCGGTATACAATGACATCATTGTGAATGGCTTTTTACCAAAGAGATGGTTTTTAATAGAGTGTTGGATTTTCCTTTTACAAACTAAACGCCTCTAGGTCCTTTGACATAACCCCATTCTCGAAAATCAGAGCTCTCCTCTATTGCGCATGATTATGAACGACACGGAGTCAGAATCGTTAGTCTGGGGTCGAGAATGGGATGATACCAGATTATCTTAATGAAGACCATTAAAAAAACCTGAGTTGTCGCAGTAGAATTGAAAATCTTTGCAAGGATTTCTGTACTTTTGAAGGAGACAATCACTGCATGATGCATTGAGGATTCAGCTGTTAAAGGTGGACTGGCTACAACGTCAAAATAATTTTGATAGTCGAAAATTTTCCAAACGCATCGCTTTGTCAAACGTTCTTATTTCTCGCGCAAAATAATTGTAAACTAAAGCCGAAAAGACCGGATGCTCTCGCAGGCTAAAGAGAAGGCTGTCATTTTATTTTGCTTGCGGGTGGATTACAAAAAGTATTCAGCAGCGAGCTAGCCAATCAGAACCTGTGAAATTCCCTACTCATTGCTTGGTATTTTGAACCAATAGACAACAATGTTTCATGGTCCATACTTCCAAAGACCACGCTTCTGACCACTGTTTACTAATTATTCCAAATTTTCCAAAAAAGTAAATGAAAAATTTTGCACAACGAAACCAAAGCTCTTGACCAATCAGCGCGCGAGAAATTGCTCAGTGATTTGTAAAAATGCTAATTCACGATACTGACAACGTACAATTCTTATAAATATGAGCAAAGTACGCAGTTTTCTAGAGAAATCCATGTTTGAGAACGAAACAAGCTAATCAGCGCATCAGGTGAAAAAAAAGCAAGCATTTTTATTCAAACCGGATCAACTGAAACGATACTAGTTTGGATGGGGCCATGCGGTCGAAAATGATGTGACGAGCCTTCTGACTTGTTCGGTCCGCGCGTAGCGCGCGCAAATCAGTCATAACAAGAAAATAATTTAGTTTCTTTAGTATAAATTGGGGAAATTCATTGTGTATAAGGAAAATATATACGGTCTTTGAATACCTTCTCTAATGATAAGCGAGGAAGTGCTTGTAATCACCGCAGTTTAATTGTAAGTTCATCCGTTTTGCTGTGCGTTTTACGTAAACATTCGATCGTATTATTGCGTGGTCATAGTAGTGACGTCATAATAGTGTCTTTAAAGAAGAACGCTCAGAAATTTGAGCGACTATATAAAAGATGCAATCAACTTTTTGTATCATGCCGTAAACAATTAATACAAATCGCAATTAACTTTGAAAGTTTTATCGAACATGCCGCAGCGAACAAAGAAAAGTGAGAGAAACAAAAGAAAAAACGAGAGAAAAGAAGAGCCGGCTTCCAAGATGGCGTTTGACTCAATTCAACTGGTCTCTCAATCATTCATGAAAGAAAGTTTTGAACCGAAGACGGATGTGAAATGGGATTCTGTAAATCTTCCCGCATTGTTCCTGAAAAATTACGACATCGAAAAAGAGGCAAATGAGGCTGCGAAAAGTGTAAATGTCGAGAATTACTGCCAGGAACTCGCGCAGAGGTTGGAACAAAGTATAAATGAGGCTATGGAAGATGTAATAGAATACGTGGCAAAATTTAAGGAACAAGTGTTGGCTATTCTGCGAGAAGAGGAGGAAAGGGAGGAACTGAGAGATGTAGCTGAAAATACCGAAAGACCTGATGCAAAGTTTAAATCTTTACCAGATGCCTTACACAATATTGTTGAGCAACTGCGAAAGCTGCAGGAAGACAGAGAAATTATTTGCAACTGTCTAACAACTGCAGTCAACGAATATCCACTTATTTTGCAAAGACAAATTACCGAAGAAGTTGGAGGTGTAATAGAGAAGGTTTCAGTCGCCGCGAAAAACTTGCTTGTGAAACTCGAAGTAAGAGAGCCAGACGAGGAAAGTTTCGCGTCAATAGCTGACACTGGTGCAAGTTTAGAGGTACTGGCGAAAAGCGAGTCAAAAGACGATAGTAAAGACTTACCAGTTGCAGAGAAAATGGAAAGCGAAGTTCTAACATCAAGCAAATCAATAGCTGAAGCAGCTATGAGCTTAGGAGAAGATGAAGGAGACGAAATGCCGAGATGCGAGTTGAATGATAACAGCAAAAAGCTGTCAATCACAGAACGAAACGATAACCAACTCACCACAACAAGATCATTAATAGATGAACCGCAGGTAGCCACAAGTTCAGCCGATGGTTATGGGGAGAAATTGGAGAGAAGTGAGTCGGACAAAAGCAGCGCAAATATGCCAATCACCGAGCTAGGGGATGAACACGTGATTCCAACTCCTCCACCACCTCCCCCTGTCAAATCATTGTACCTTGACAAGGTGGACGAAATTAATGAGCGCATTCTGGCACACAGGAAACATCAAGTTAACCAAGTAAAAAGGGAGCTAAACTTTGCCATCGCGAGGTTGACCTCTGAAGTCATAACTTCATACGAGCAAGCTAGTGCTCTACAGAAACAAAATTCACCTGTGCTGGAAAAATCAATGATCGAATTCTTGAAAAATCAAGAAACTAAGAAGACATTTTTTATCAAAGAAATTACTGAGCGCCTACACACAGTTTTAAGAATGCTTACATCGGAACTGGGAGTAAATGACCCAAACCTGGAGCTTCGGAACCTCAATGAGACAGTGAAGTTGTTGCATCTCTTACAAAGTACCAGAGCATGCCACTTAGAGAAGATTTCTGTCACGACGATTATGAATGAAACAAATGGAGTCTTGTTTTATTTACTACTATTTGTAGGCGTTTTTCTGATTGTCTTGACTTTGAGTTTAAATGGAGAGTGGCTCGCTTTGATGATGTTTGTGGCAATCATTTTTATCTTTATTGTTAAGGCGTGGCAAGGAATATTCTCTTCCAGAAAAAGGAAAATTGAAGGATTTGGAAGAGTAAAAAAGCCTGTAAAGATTGATTGAACCGTTTTCTTCTAATTTACGCAATTTTGCAAGGCTAAATGACATAACTGACTTAAGGCATGTACAGTTGACTACATACTCTACTCTTCATGCTTTTTCAGATTCAATAAAAGAGATTGATAAATCAGAGTTATTTTGGAATGCACAGTAGTCTGATTGGTAATCTCAAAGACCCTTTTTGCCAAAATGGAGAGCTGGAGTGCCTGGTGGGGGAAGTAAGCTTAAACCTTTACAGCAAGTGAAGTAAGAACCCATTAAGCACGAGTGGTGCCAGGTCGACGGCAACCTCGTTCCCAGGTTCTCTCTACTACGGGTAGGAGAGAACCCTGGGAAGGAGGTTGGCTCGACGGTAAATTGTGGAGTATGGCCCAGTTCGTCTGTATTGTATTCGCCTAAGAAACGGAACAGCTAAATAGAGATGGTGTCTTATCAAATCCAAGTCGGTGATTCGTAATAACAGAAACTTCGACAACTTCCTTAAATAGCCATTAAGGTCTCTCTCAGTGCAAACTGCATTCCAGGTGTAATCTGAACTTTACGAAAAATTTGACGCTGGATGGCTCTGATCATCTGTCTGAATAACAACTCATATTACACCTTGAGATTACCATCCAAGTATTAAGCACAATACGAAACTAACAATTCCATATTTCCCCGTTTTTGAGGTTGTCTTGCCGTCATATCTCCCCATGGTGTATGTAATGCACCAATTCCTCAAATTTCACAGCGCGTCGTGGAATGTAAAATTTATTGCTATGTCATTATCCCTTCCGTTCTGTCAGTTTTTCTTCCCTCTTTCGGGTTGGCGAACCGTTTCCCCTTTTTTTTGTTTTTTGTTTTTTGTTGCTTTTCCTTTTTGTTGTTGTTGTTGCTTGTTTGTTTTTCTTTTTTTAAGCAAATTCCACAGATTTGTGTCGTTTTCTCGTACCCACGTCACTTGACCACTTATTCGGCCTCATCTTTAAGAGACTTGGGCACTAGACTTTGCGCTCTCGTGTGCGCGTGCATGACATGGAAGTTTTAAAATTTTATAGAGCGCGAGCTTCCTAAAAGTAACGAAGTCCATTTGAATTGCGCCTTAAAGCCGCTAACCGTCGCCAGGGCTTTTCTTAGACGCAGTATAACTTGAAAGACTGTTTGAAACCTGAAAAGAGAAGAAGAAGGAGAAGAAGAAGACTTAAATAGGTCGGTGCTTATAATAACTTAATTAATCGTGATAAAAGTTAGGACGGTTTTGTCTTTATTAAATATCTTTTATATATCTCTTTAGTCTTAACTTTCGCTTAAAAACAACGTTGAAAAAGAGGAAATGGTCGATCAATCAAAAATTGAAATAATTAATATTTTTAATGATTTCCTCTTCTTCTATCTGTCATGTCATAAATTATTTTAATTTACTTTCCTTACTGTAAGCTTGTCAACAAAGCTCTTTTCATTGAGTCAACATAGCAAAAAAACCTAAAAATGCTTTCGGGCGCAAAAATGCACTACTTAGAGGAAAGTATACGCGGCGATGCTAAAGAGAAAGCTAACTTATTAAATTGTTTCTTCCCTACTGTTGAAATGAAACTGGCAGACACCATTAAGCAACAGCACCAGGCACTAACCACAACATCTAAGCCTGTCCCGTGTATTTATAATGCAAGAGCATCATACGCGGTGAAGTCGCGAAAAAACTTTTTGCTTTGAAGACAAACAAAGCCACTGGCGCTGACGGTATTTCTTGCTTGTATTGCTTTCTTGTTTTGATGTTTTCTTTTTCTTTTTTTGTTTTTTTCTCCTAATCTTAATTTTCTGCTAATCAGTCTCCACCTAAAGAATGCACTTTTCTAAACCGCATCTAAAAACTTCAATTATCTTTTGGCGCCGCCGTCCCTTATGGCCCTGTTAATTCCTTTGTATGTCTGTATATAGGCCGATTTAGAAGGTACGATTTTTGCTTACGGCTATCGTGACTAGCTTACGTAATGACTTCATGACTTCTTTTCGTTTTATAATGAACGCTGCCTCAGCTAAATATTTTGCATTTACTCATTGTTAATCTTTTGTTATTATATATAAGGTTAATGATAATTTTGTAACTTCTGTACCTTTTATATTTGTATGTAAATGTGTAATAAAATGTTGTAATAAAGCATTAAAAACTATGTTTAAATTTTTTATATCTTTTTGTTAGGATGGCTTATGCAGTGGATGCATATGATTTTGAGATATCAGAAGATGACCTTAAACACATGAAATATTACCGTGAGCGGTTAAATGCGCGTCCATTAACCACGGCCCTTAGAAGCTTTGACATCAACGAAAACTACGAGTCGACGCGGTTACCTGGCGTCTATGAGATCAGCCAAGACTCTAAAGTCATCTACATTGGCGGGAATCCATGCCTCTCTAACATCCGGGACTGTCTAAATGCCCATTTTAGTGGAAATGATGGACTGCCAATTGGAGAGTACTTGAGTGGCCCTGCCAAAAACAAATGGAAGTCGATTTTCATTCGCTGGTTGACATGTGCAAAGCCGAATGAGGTGGCCTGGTTTTTGCTGAGTGACTTTCAAATGCAGCATGGATGTTACCCTCCTTTTAATTACCCAGCCGAGAACTGTAGCTCTTGTGAAAAAACGATAGATGACGACTAGTATCTCCAATTATAATGTGTATAAATAAGATTTTTAAAGTTTCATAACTGCACCAAAGTCAAAATGTCTACCAATGTCATTTGAACTTTGATGCATTTAAGTTAGACGTTACTGACTTCAGACTTAACCCTTTAATTTCATCACATCTCGCTGTTGATATTTATTCTGAACAATTTGTTGGTGTTATTAATTGATGACTCTATCTCAAAAAGGTACTTTTATGTTAGTCTCTATGTACTCTTACCTATTTTCGCGAGTGCTAATTTTGGCGATTTCAAAACTTCGCAAAATGGCTCCGTTAAAATTAAATTCACGAAAATATTTTGTATATACGGTTGGTTCCGTGAGCGAATACTGCAAGATACTGCAGGATACTGCAGGATACTGCAAATTCTATATTCTGATATGGCTAGCCTATCTTCCTCGCTCTAAAATTATAAACTCTCTGTTGTTTTCGTTGGCCATATGACATGATAAACCCTTGTTTGATCAAGCTTGTTCGGGTCAAGATTGCTGTATATCGGCCTCTTTCTTTCTTTCTCCTTGGCCTTTATATAGGTGGGTGTCAACTTCGTCTCGGTCCATAATAACAACACGCCTAAAAAAGAACTTGGCCAATATCCTATTTTAATTTGATATAAGGCTATTAGGCCATTTTGAAAACTCCTGGAGACTGGGGCAAAGTTCGTTCCCCCAAAACAGTCCCATGGTCCAGTTCGCCACGACACTCGGACCCAGGCAACACGCGTGGTGAGTCACAACACACTTAACTTCTGGCAGTAATTTAGGTAGACAAGCTCTCTCAAAAAGCCTTGAATAGGGCGTCTTTTTCGAGTGGATGGCTTTAAAAGGGAAAAGACCTCTCTCCCCAACCCCCCTCCTGTTTTCCCTTCCTCCCAATCTTCCTACCTCTCAACTCAAACTTCCCTTGAGTCCTCCACACACGCCAAACCCCCCCCCCCCCCCCCCCCCCCCCCCACCCGACACATGAATTGTTTTACCTCCCTGTCACACCACCAGAACTCACCCCACTGTCAAGAATCATATGGGCAAAAGCAATTTTTTTCATTACTTGTGGCAGAAGTGTGGAAATAAAAATTCCCTAAAAATGCCTTAAATAGGGCGTCTTTTTGGAGGGGAGTGTTTTAAAGGGGAAAAGCCCCCCCCCCCCACCCCCCCCCCTTTTTTCCTTTCCCCCCAACTTTCCTCCCCCTCCCCCCAACCTTCCCTTGAGTCCTCCACACCCCCCAACCCCCCCCCCCCCCCCTCCCCAACCCTTCAGGATAAGAGAATGTTATTGTCCCAGCTTTTCCCAGAAAGATCTCAGCCACATTGAGAAAGATTTTACGGGACAGGTTTATTTTTAATCAGGTTTATAAGGAAAACCAACAAGTACTGGGCTTATCATCCTCTGCGTGAAACTAACGAGAAGGTTATTCTATTAAATAAAAGAGAATTAATATAGTTACTGGTAACATGCACGTTACTTGATTACCTACAGCGATTTGGTCAGATAAATAAATTGAATGACAGTGAGAACCTTGACTGTTAGACAAAGTTTTCCACCACTTCAGCCCTCAAAAGCATTCTAATTTAAGCGCAACTGACAACATTGTATTCTTTGCGCTCCTGGCACAAGCTGAAAGGATAAACTCAAAGACAGTGTTATTACATTTTGTTTTCTCGTGTCGTCAAGTTTCACATGCAGGTACCCTCAGCGTACCAGTCAACTCCTAAATGTAGCTGTAAATAATGATCTAAGGTGAATAAAACACATTTTCTACGAAAATCCACCACTCTTCTATGATCAGCAGGTCTCTAAATCCTTTTCAGAAAAGAAAGTTGGCCTGTTTATGCGAGGATGTCCTTTCCACTTTTGAGCTTTCGTTTTGGGCGGTCACATTTCTGCTCTTAGAACCAATAAATGAACCATAACGTTTACCCTTTCTTGTTTTGAAGAGGACACTCCAAAAACTACACGGCAATTAAATTTTTCATGGCGCATAACCTTCGGACAATAAAAGTTCACAACGCTCTAGTAGCGCGTATCGCAACTCACGAACTTAAAATGTTCGTCTCCATCATTCGGGAAAACTTAAGTGTTTGGGAAAAAAAGCTGTTGGTTTCGCTGGTTTAGGTTGAATCTCGCTTTGCGTTATCGTAGAATATAACGTAATTCACGGGTGCTCATTAATAGTACATGAACTCTGCCATCTTCCCAACGGGAAGCCGAAGTTTAATTTCCGCGCAGTAGGAAGAGTTTAATCCAAGATGTTCTTGCCAAGACTTTCAGGTAAGGCTATGTTGCAAGCTTCATTTCACTGGCCTCCTCTTATTCCTTTACGTCTAGATCTGATTTTCATAATCTTATTTGTTTTTCTAGGCTTAGTACTAGCGATCTTGGCATTCATGATTGGTAAGTATGATCAGTGTGCCCTCTCTTAATTAACAAGTCTGTTTCTCTCAACCCACTTCAATTCGACGAACCGTCCGAAAAGCTGAGGTTATTGTAATTACATGTAAAGCGGAACGACGTAACTTTCGATAACATTCCTTGGTAAATCTCTTACCATAGCCAACAAAAGTACTAGAGAAATTTCTCAGGTTTCCTTAAATACTTTAAAATATTACCCGCATATATACTGCTATCAATTTTATGGGAATGAAAAATGATACATTTTTTAAAATTTAGTATCGCATATGTTTGGCCACAAATCCTAGATTGGTAATTTTACAGAAATAAAGGTATGACTCTCAGATCTATTTATTGTAAGGTGTCGATTTGCGTTCAAAGTCGACAGTTCGTTCTTTGAACAGATGAGAACTAAAACATTAATTAACAGGTACCACTAATGTTTATTCTTATAAATTGCCAGGTTCTACAATCGCCAATATCGAAGTGGTGGACACAAACCCAGGTATCGCATAAAGGATTGTTCTATCAAAGTAACGGTGATAATTAAACGGATGTCAAAGCTTGTAAATTTGCCATGGTTTAATGGCCATGGTTTAACGAGTTTATACAAAAAAAATATTAAGGAGATGTACCCCTTTGATCGAGTTTACACCTTATCAGCCCGAGAGGTCCTGGGACACAGCACGCTGTCCGGAAAAGGAATTTTTTTGTAATGAAAATGATCGAGTTTACAAACAGGAAATAATGATTTTCTTGAAATGATTCTGTATATGTTAGTAGGAGCCGATTACTGATGTTAGAAAGTAGTATAAGCTTATTTTGAGCTTATTGCCGTCAAGAAGTGTTAGGGGAGTTTGTATGCATCTCTCATCTCTAGTAGACGTACGCAAAAGAAATTTATTAGCTATATCTTGGTTATTTTTTCATTCGCTCACTCATCCCTTAATATTTGCCTACAGATTTTATTGGCTGTTACAAGGACGACAAAACATTAGACGACAACTTTCACCTTATCAATGCTCGAGCTCTTGGATACCAGGTTGAAAGATATGCAACGAAACAAGACTGTGTAGACCAGTGTGCTGCTAAGGGATTCCTTTACGCTGGTCTTCAAAATGGTGACCTCTGTTTCTGTGGAAACAATTTTGATAAATATGGACGTGCAGATGACTCGGAATGTGATATCAAATGTAGAAAACCTGACGAAGTTATCGAACACACTAACAATCCCTTTGATTCATGTGGCGGTCGATGGAGAAATTCCGTGTACGCGGGTAGGTAAACGGTTAGCATGCGTAGCACGCCTCCTTTTTTGGTGTGTTTTTTCCTGTTCGGTTCGTAAAGTAAGAGACAAAAACGCACGACTCTTTAGGTTGTACGGGAAAACGACGGCGTAGGGGACGAGGGGAAAGTTAAGGCAGAGTGAACCATTCTCCCTGCCTTTTTCTCCTCCCCCCATCCCCCAACATTTTTTTCGTTTGACCTTTTACTTTACGAACACGAACGAAAAACACACCCGAGAAAAAAAACGCAGGTTGGTAAACGGTTATCCTGCAATAGACGGTACTACCTGCGAACTCCCTTTTTCTTATTGATTTATTGGCTTATCAGTACGCCAAGAGAGGGCACCACAATACTTACCAGTATGGGCTGGGTGGATTCTCCTTCCCACACACACTGAAGAGCCTGAGGCACAGAAGTTTATTAACCCTGTAAGTCCTAATAGTGACCGACATCAATTTTCTCCTCAAAATATCCATTCATTGGCAAGAGATAAGGTTATGAGAATTAATAACATGATCACCATAGAGAAAATACCTTGATCTTTTATCAAGTTCTCTCAACTCATTATTTAAGGAAATGTATGGAGACCAGTTTGGAGAATTTGTGAGTGGATATTGGGACTTAAAGGGTTAACTGCATCGACTAATGATGCGATCATATGAACTGAGACACGGTCTTGAGCACAGTTAGCCTACGAACCGCAGACGTATTTCCGGTCGTAGGGAGAGAAGCGACGACCGGAAATACGTCTGCGGTTGGCAGGCTACAACGCAGTCAGCGTGATCTAGATTTCAATAGCTCTGTTTGGTGGTTCGAAAGGAATTCAAATCCTCCCGCTCTGCAAGGGCTCGTTGTTTGACTGTATTCTGGAATAAGAACAATGAAATAAACTCTAGAAATCACTCACGATTCGTTACATCGTAACATCTGCAAATCTGGCGAAACGCAGTTTTCAGATACAGCAGCCAGTATTCCATTGGTCCAAAAATCTCGATAAAATAGACTTGTTACAAAATTCATAGACTGTTCACAGTCCTCTATTTTTCCGTAAGATCGTCGAGATCGAGCGCTTTGCGTTACGGCCTTCCATCTTGCACGACTGTGTCAAAACTACTTAGGGGGCGGGGGCGGTTTGGGAGGAAGCGAGGAAAATTCCTATTGGCCAGAACCTCTTTAGAACCTCTAATTTGATCGGTTCTTGTTGGCTCGAAGCTCTATTGTTTCAGAGTTGGGGTTCAAGTTAGTTTTTTGGGGGTTAGGGCTATCTATTGTTTTCTAAACCAATCCTGTGAGCCGTTCTTAGAGCTTCCGGCCCACCCCATTCTCTACCTCTATTTTTCTCGCCCCCCTCCCCCTAGAGATATAATCCCCGACGCCCGCCCCCTAGGTACATTTGAAAATCAAGATGGCCGCCATTAACGCTAAGATGCGCTATATCTCGACGATCTCACGAAAAAATAGGGGACTGTGAACAGTCTACAAAATTTATGGCGTATTTGGGAATGCGGCTAATCGAACGCACCCATTGTTAACGGCGTGGCGATTTATAGGTTGTTGCTTTTCAAAGCCTCTTAATGCGGGCCCGTATTGTATGATCGACGATTTCGCAAATTCGGAAGTGATGGCGACGAACTGTATCAAAGTATCATCTAGCGTATATTAATTTGCTTTTTCCCTTTTAGTTACTGGAGTTCGATCAGCAGAGCGCGATGCTGCCAGAAAATGGTGGCAGATATAAAAGTGAACAGGTATATCTATAGTAAGACATTAAGAGCCGTAGTGTCAAGACTATTTGAATTGGTATAATCGATTTAAAGTTTAAAGTAAAACACATTGCAATCAAAGACGCTCTTTTCGCCATCTTTTCTTCAATTGATGCTAACAGCTCTAGCCCGTAGTTCGAGGAGGCCTAACCTCTCATAAGCTCCTATAGTTTCTGTTAGGTCTCCTCGCCACTTTTTGCTATATTTTTGTAATTTCTATTATTGTGTCGCAAGTAAAATAAAAGAAATAAAATCGTAGGTGAATTTCCATAAGGAAAAACAAAAACCTGGGCAGGGGGTTGAAACCTCATTCCAAGGACTTTCCCTTTTCTCACTCCTTCCGAATGTCTAAGGAAGAAGCCTTGTAGAAAAGGTTGCATGATTATAGTAAATTACAGTATAATATATAGGTTTATTCACGGCTAAAAGCGAAGCTCTCGATAATATTTATAGTTTGTTCAAACAAAATATAGAGGTGATGTTACACGGGACGATTCGCAACGACGATTTTTACCGTAACACAGCGTTGCATTGTTGTTTCGACATTGTTTCAAATGTTTGCAACATTGTTCTAATTTTGCAACGCTTCGTTGCGCTAAAAATTGTCGTTGGGAATCGTCCCGTGTAACATCACCTTAAAATCGTGTAATTCTAAACGGCGAAGGCAACGCTGGAGAACGGTGAAAAACAACAATAGGTCTAATTAGCAAAAATCAACTTTGCACGTGCAGCACACCTTTTTGTACATTTCTTTGCCGTTGTTTTGCACGGCTACAACCTGAATCTTCCAGAAACTTCTTAGTTACACGTTTTTTGGAGAAAGTGTCGTACGTGTGCTCGTTCACGTTTTTTTCACTGCCGCCCATTTTCACCTTGCATTGGTGGCCGCCAACATTTCTCCTTTTGTCACCGCCGATACAAAATTTTCATGTTCTTCCATGAAAAATGTCTCCTTTGTTTTTTACCTCTCGCTCTAGATCTCTGTCGCCCTTTTTCTCGTTGAGCTTCGCTGCCCTGCCGCTTTTCTCTTTTTCTCTGTCTTTCTCTTGCTCTATATTCTAAATTTATGGACCTAATCTAAGCTTAATACTTTAGACAACACGGATACAGAAACAATTTCCGCTTTCCGTTTTCGTCTTTATTGACTCTTTAGTTGTCTCTGCTTTACAAGACGCCGGTGGCTATGCGGCGATTTCCCGCCAAAATAACCTGGAGTTGCAATTGGGTTGCCAAACCTGTTGATTGAGTTATTTTACATTGGTATACCTGTGGTACGGACGAACGGTCGTTCGGGCGTACAGTCACGTGATTACCAAATTTTCTTGGATGGGTAGATTACTTCATTTTCTTACCTATGGGGCTCCGCTGCGCGTGCTTCGCGCGCGAGAGCTCCGCTAATACTTCAAACTGCCTCTTGTTAGCCCCACCACTAATAACACCTCCCCCCACCCCCAGCTATTGGCCCACCTACTTGTAAACAAAAGAAAAAAAACGTGCGATTGTAAGCCCCTTTCTAGATTTACTGAATTATATTCGATTTATTATGACTGTTCAAAGCTTAATTAAAAACCAGAAAGTAAATGCAAAAATTATTTAATCAGCACTGCTATAGCTTGTTTCGAAGAGGTTTTTACTACGTCGGTAATGAGCCCCTGGGTTATAAGCCCTCCTAAAACCCCGTACGGAAATGTATAAGCCCAGGGTTGATAAGCGCCAGTTAATATACGGTAATAGGCCCTTTGCAGCTAGCCATTCACGTTCGCACTGGGACAAGACAAACAAAAGACGTACATAATTTGAAATAGTAATTTTCTTTGTTTGTCTTGTCCTAATGCGACTTTTGCTCTCCAACATGGCGGTTTTGTACTACGTGAATGGCTAGCTGCAAAGGGCCTATTGTCTTATGTAAAATTCGCTTTCTTGAGTTCTAAAATAGCTTAAAATTATACCGACTGCAGAGGTACAGACTCGACAACTGTTGGATATTTCATAACTTCTTACTTACCTTTTACTGCAGGTTCATCAAGTAAGGGACTAAAATGATGAAATACTTATGACGCAACGTCTACTTTCGACACAAAGAAAGACAAGAAGCCAAGTAGTTCACTTAGTCGATATAAAAGAGCATTTATTGCATTTGTAACTTTCCTAAATCCGCACCCTCAGGAAGCGGATAGAGGTTCCATAACTGGAGTTGGTTCTTAAAAGGGCTGCGTCACGGCTAGTTAGTTCATTCAGCAATGGAAGGGCTCCTGGTGCATTTTGATAAAAATTATTTCAAATTATTCCAATTAGAAATTACTTGTGAATGGTAAAATCACAGCTTTGGGTCAAACAAATATGTCTCCCAAGCATTATATCAAACGTTACAAACCATAAAATGAACTTTGAAAAACTGTTCGGTTAACAAGTTTTCAAAAACTGCAGTTTTAATCCGTTTAAAAATTTTTCCAATTTTCCATCTGTGACGCCTCATTTTGTATTTGCTGAGTCTCTTATACTTAGGGCTTTCCACAAGTTGCTCGGCAACTTTTTGGCAACTTCTCGTATTTCGAGCAACTTCTTGCATTCTGAGCAATCTCTCTAGTTATCTTCTAATAAAGGAGACGCATTAAACGTCAGACGAATGAAACGTCTGAAGTTAAGTACGTCCGAGCGATGCACTTAACAGATGAATTAGTCGTCTAAGACGTTTAAGACATCTAGTATAAAAACCCGACGCACTTAACAGTCCAGGGCCGGTTGCTCGAAGCCTGGTTAGCGCTAACCGTTGGTTAAGAGGAATCAAAATGTATAGGTTTCCATTGTATTTAACGCTGGTTAGCACTAACCATGCTTTGAGCAACCCGGGCCAGACGTTTAATGCGTCTGGACGTCTAAGACGTCTTCTAGTATAAATACGGCCAATATTTCCTGTAAAAAAGGAGCCAAATCCCTCCCCCTGGGGCAAATCATGGGCGCAAAGTAAAAGTAGCCGGGCGGCTCGGTCAGCGGTTTTTAGAGAAAATTCAAAATGGTGGACGAAGATCCACACTCGACTGACTGGAGTGTCTCGGGTGAAAAAGGTCATTCAACAACTTTATTGGCTCATTACATCTTTTGGTTTTAATTGAGGACAAAGTTGTTTAGCACAACAAATTACACAAGAATGCTTAGAGATCTTACTTTTGTTGTACAATTTGCGTATTTTAGCATCAGACCAAAAAAAGGTTTTCGTCTTTTCGAGCAACTTTTGAATAACTTTCGTCACAAAAAGCAACTTTTGATTGTTGTTTGCGCAACTTTTGAGCAACCTTTTTGAGAAATTCCGGGAAACATTTTGGAAGATCTCGAGTGACTTGTGGAAAGCGCCAGTTATACCCTCTGTTCATGTTTTGAGCGGTTACTCTTATGTTTCACTTAAGTTTGGTTGCTGTTCCCACAGTTTGAATTTTGGGATCGTTATACGTTTCTGGGAAACTGCCCACCTACTCCTCCCCTAACCCAACATTGTCACTTACTTCTCACTTAGTGCAAAATGTTGGCTTAGGGGAGGGGTAGGTGGACAGTTTCCCAGAAACGTGTAATGATCTTTGAATTTTGTTAAATTTCGTGGCACAGTTCCTTTAAGGGGATGATCCTTGAAGGAGATCAATAGCATAGGGGTTTCATTAATTTAGGTGACAGAAAATGCCGTCAAGAGAGCTTCGACAGTTTGAAATATATCGGTATAGCTTTTTATAATACGAAGCAGTAGAATTGAGTTCATGTTTTATTTTTCGAAATAGCAGTAGAGTATACAGGAATAATAAAAAGTAGATAAGCTTATACAGCAATAATCGTAGAAATAAGTGAACAGTACTATTGAGCTATTTCAGTAAAGGCCATATGCCCATGTGCCCATATGTTACGCCAAATACCTATATGTTATGCCATTTCATTCAGCAGTTTTACTTTTTTTCTAAATGGTACGTAAGGCATAAGAAATATCAAAATCCTTGAACAACCACTTTTTGCACATATTTAGTTACATGAAGGAAAAGTGGGATCCTATTCATGATCATTTGTTTTTTGCTGAATTTTAGATTGTTCAAGAAATTGTAAATTGTGTGTATAAACTGAACTAAGCAACTTAACTGAGGCTGAGACTCTTATTTTGTTAGTGGCGTTCTGACAGAAATGTCGTATATCGCTGTTAATGAGGTTAAAAGTACAACAATAAAAACTGGAAAAGGTGGGGCAAGTCCCTGCAACCCAAATATAAGGGCTACTTTATTCAGTCGCGGTCTATGATCCAAACTTGAATCAAAGGGTTCGCTGGCTTGCAGCAGATTCTGTAGGCTGGGATGGTTTTTCCTTGCTGATCATGTTTGGTCGTGGTGGACGGTTGTGTGACCGTGCTGTATGGCCATGGTGTGTTATCAGCTCTTGACCAAGGTACATTGCCAACCATGGTTACAAAAATAATCAATGTTTTTTGCTAAATCAATGACAGCAAATAACAAAATAGTTATGTTTGTGTGATTTGCGAACCTTAACAATACATGCTAATATTTCTGCTTTGTATTAACTTTTCTCGAATAAGATATTAAAGTCAGGCAAGTCAGGTTCTTTCTCAATCCAAAGTTTGAGTTTTAATTCCAGCCTATATCCCTCCATTTTTACGTTCGACGTTGCATTATTTATACAACTGGCCGGCTCCTCTTTCTTGTGTCGTAGGGAGACTGGGAGACCAGAGGAGGGAAAAAGAAAGCGCGCGGGGGACGGTGGGAAGGGGGAAGAGAGAAGCTGTTTTTCTATTATTGCTATTTTTGTTGGGGTACCCAGCGAGAGTCTCAGCGGAGGAGAGAGGGAGAGCAGTCATGATCACAGGCTACCCAACATTCTAATAGTTTAATATTTGATATTTTCGTCCTTCAAGGATCACTGCGTTTCGAGCCTTGCCGTTGACAACCACGTAAATATTTTGGTCTCCCGAAGGAGCCGAATTTGGGAATAACATGTGTCGATATAGGCGTAGGTTTTGAAAGCACCACAGACTACAACATATCATTTAAGGCGAGGGATTGTCGCAAATCGTAATAGGAGTCACGATGGGCCTAAAGCTTCCTTATGGAATAATGTTGATTGCCCTTTTCATAAACGAAGGTAAGAATGGTTGTTAGTATTTTATATAGTCGCACTTCAGGTAATTGCACCGATTCTCTTTGATGAGCAGAGAGTTTCGAATATCGTAAGCAGTATAACATATGATGGTGAAAACACATGGTGGAAGCAAACTTTCTGTGGTAAGCAAATATTTTTTGATCCTGGTAACGACTGAGTTTCACCAGGAAATCGAATCACTTAACGTTTATAGAAGGGGCTTGTAGGATTTTTTTTAATTGTTCTAGTTTGCACGGGTAGAAATTCATTTTCATAGGATATAGGCCTCTAAAGTATCAATGTGAACAATTATAATTTTTGGCTATTGGTTTCAAAAAGGTGTTGGTAAATGAAATGAAAAATGAAAAAAAACCAGGACCTCTAACTTCAACTGTTCCCAAGTGAAGGTTTTATTGGCGTGCGCATCCTGGTTTAAGCGGCTGTTTTGCGATTTTCCCGTCACCTGAAAAAGTCTATTAACTTTTTAAAATAACCCTCAAGATATTTCCACCTCAGCGTCCTTGTCGTACATTTGAAATTTCAGAAATTGGAATCGTTTTTTTGTGGCAGAATCAAACAATTTTTACAATTTGTTGGCCTCCTTGCACCCAAGAAAACTTTTAAGTTTTTGTTAAAATAAATACTTGTTTAAGCTTCTGAGTGTTCCGTGTTTTGTTATATTGAAACGAAACTGTGACAATCATTTTAGGAGAATATTGACTTGCCATAGGAAGTGTCGCATTTTGTAATGTTGCAAGAACAACTCAAAGTCCAAAATAGAAAATCACGAAACAGTAAACAATTTTTGTTTTGTCAGAATATGATACTGTGACGGCAACAAAAACTAATAACACTAAAGTACTGCCTTAAACTGAATTCCGGTTAAACTTTTTAAAGGGCCTCGTATAATCTTGACAGACTGACGGGAAACTCTGGCGTGGTTTTCCCTCGGGCTCTTCTTTTCATTTATTATATTTTCTTTTCAGCCACCTAAGTGATATGAAATTAGAGATAGCTATTTAGTACAACTAAGAAATGCTCGGAAAAAATTCCGAGTTCTTTTCGTTTTTAGTATTGAGCTTGGAAGGAAAGATTTTAGACTACAATTCATCCAAAATCTTAAAGTCGATTAAACAGCCGAGCAGTTGTCTACAAAATGAAAGTAAATAAAGAATAGGGTATTCTATAGTGTTAAGTTGGAGATGGGAAGGTTTCGTTTTTGATTTGTATGAGGGTGAAAAATCCACGCTCACCCCATACAAACTTGTTATCACAACTGAAAGGCTTTACAACTTACAAGAGAGTTACAATGTTGTATTGCAAAACCTTTGACTCTAATTATCGTTATCTTCATAGCATCGTTACCGTTTTTATTATCATTAACGTTTGCGCAAATATAACTTTTTTTTTCAGTTACGCCTAAAACCTGTTCATGTTTTTCCATTCACGAGGAAGGCGTCACGTGGCCTGACGCCAGGAAGTCTTGTCAATATCATGGCGGAGATCTTGTAACCATAGAAACAGAACATGAATGGCAAGTCCTAAGAGATCAGATTGAAAACAGGACAAACAGGTTTAACAACAGTTGGTACATCGGTTTGCGAATGACGTCAAGGGGGATCTGGACCTGGGTGAGTGGAAAACCGCTGACATTAAACCAGTGGCATGGATGGCAGCCTCGTGATGGTGCACCGTACGCGGTTATGACTAAGACCTTCTCTCCAGGAACTAAGGGAGTCTTTAGAAACGTCAAGGGATCCATCTTTGCCGGCTTCATTTGTGAGAAACCTGTCGGTAAGTGAACTTAACGATCGCAAATTAAGATTTAACAAAATAAACACCCAAAGTAATTTGTGACAAAAGTTAGTGCGAATTGATACAGTTTTGTGAACAGGACTGACGGTCTTTCCGTTTCGCGTGCTTAGAGTTTTCCTTTCTTTCCTCACTCACCAATTTAGGCGAATACTTCATTTACTTCCTTAGAATTTATATTAAGACACTAATTATAAAGTACAATAATAAGTTTCCCGACCTTTCTAAATTGGCAAAAACTGTGACGGGCTTCTGAAGAAGAGTTTCAGTTCTTTACAAAAATAATTTGCCGCCAATGACTAAAATAACTAGTTGAGCCAAGTTGAAGTGGCCATTGTTTCCTTCATATATGAATTTAGATAATCTCGCTTCCTTTTGTATGAAGTGGAAATGGGAAAGGAAAAGTCAGTCAGTGGAACCACTGAGCATCACGTACATCCACCAATCTATGAGTACTGACGTACAACGTCT